AGATCAGGAAAAAGGCTTTGCAGCCTGATCCAGTCATAGCAACTATGTTTCTACCAGCTCCTTGAAACTGCAAACCTGACTGACAAATGGCAAGACATCCTCCAGAAGCCATCTACTGAAGGCTGCCTTCATTATTTGGTAGTACAATAGGAGTTAGCTAGTATAGATCCAGGACCTGTGAAAGGTTAGGAAATACCTGAGCCCTTTCTAAACTAAGTGCAAATGAAACTATTGGAAACTTCTGTGCTAATGTCCTGTATATACCACCCCTCCATTATGGATGACAGGTGACTGGTCAGTACCTTGACATGAGTTTTTTGCATACCTCTTTCCTTCCAGAGGGAATTCATCCAGTTCTGTAAAACCTTGTATAGCATGTTTCACGAAGATCCAGAGGAAAATGATTTGTACCAAGCCATTGCCACTGTGACTACTCTGCTACTTCAGATAGGAGAAGTTGGACAAAGAAGCAGCAGTTCAGGTAGTGGATCAGGTGAATTTACTGATGACTTACAGGGTGAAGCTGCTGCCTCAGACCAGGATGCTGTTTTTAATGACACTGTGAAGACACCTCAGAAAGACTCTCAGTCTTCCCCTGTGGCTAAAGGAGACTGGACTGTCTCTTTAGAACACATTCTAGCATCACTTTTGACTGAACAATCACTAGTCAACTTCTTTGAAAAACCTTTGGAACTGAAGCCAAAACTTGAGAATGCAAAGCTCAGTCAGTATAGCCTCAAAACAAATGGAATGAGCTACCCATCACGGGGTGAACAGGTGAAAGCAAACTCACAGTAGCAAACCTCACTGTCAAGCTGAAGTGCACTGAAGTTACACCAAAGCTCACGTTGCAGAGGAAGACTTGGTTAGTAGCAGACATCTAATAAACTATTTGTTGGTCTGCCACTGAGAGCTTTATAAGTTAAAAGGGCATGTATTGTATTTTTGTGCCATTGATTTATTACTTGCATTCTTGTTTTGAATGTAAAAGGAAACATCTGTCTGCAGTGTGAAGACACAGCAGCCCTACTACACATTGGGAGAGCAGGAACTGGCTCCAGTAATCCTGATAGTTTGTTTTATAACAGAGGAAAACATTTCTCAGCTACTGTCTGCAGTTTGTTTGGGTTCCTTTTTTGCACTAATCCTGAAGACTTGTTTCAATGCTGGTAATTGAAACTATTTTAATATATTTGATTGTACTCAAGTTTGTATGTCTTGCTAAAATGTTAAGTGTACATGGACTATGCTTTTGATGTTGGTCTGTGAAAACATGCACTTTTCAATAAACCTGTTTTTTATACTGGACCTCAAACTTGCACTGTGTCTAAGTGCAGTTACTTTGAGAAAAAGCCTATAATGAGGTTAAACATAAGATGATCACTCTAATCCTTTACTACTGCAATCTCCTCAAAGTCAGATGGATAGTCTTGGGTTTTTTTTTTTAAAGGGAATAGATACAGCAGTAGTATATCTAGTTTTAGTTTATTATAAATCATCTAATTTGCAAAAGCAGGAATTCAGCTTTAAAATCCCAGGGTTGTCCAGTTCTCTCCTTAAGATAAACACTTCCATGTTTTCTCCTTACCCCAACTGAGGAATATGTAAGAATGAAATCATGCAAACTATCTGAGACAGTCTAGTTATCCTTATTTTACTTGCATATTAAAACTAAGTCTCTTGTACTGATGACTTAGTTCAGAAATGAATACAGATGAGGAATAATTAGAGTTCTTAGCAAATGCCACAGTTTAGCTAATCCTGAAAAGTATCTCCTCTTTAAAACGGTGGGAAATATACCTGATACTACTCAACACAATCTGCTCTACTCAGTTTATTTTATGTAAGTATACGAAGCACAAAGGTGATGGAAATACCTCTTCAGGTAGCAAGCAGGTGCCTAACCAGACTGGAGCCCTAAAACAACAGTACTCAGTAAGACACCTTAGTAAATGTCATTTTATAACTTTATTGTAATGAAAATCAGCTTAGTTTTCATCCACATTGACTGTCTGTAAACCTGAAAAAAAATTAAGTTGTATTAGTATATGACCAAGACAGAATTCTTTGTATAATCTGTAAATCGGTGTAACAGCTGCACTAGGATGCATTAGCTAAAAGCAGCCAACCACAAAAATGATTACAGCTAAGCTGAACACTGGTGTTCTAGAAGCAGCAAATATACCAAAATCACTAGATGATGACAGTTCTGGTCACAAGATATCAACCTATTATTAATACAAAGGATTATTTTTCAAGTGGAGACCATGTATTTAGATCTTTGACAATAGAGGACATACGGTCATCTAGGAAAATATGATGCACCTAAAAAACTTTGCTGTCCTAAACTTAAAACGTAGGACTGTATGCTAAACAGCTGAATGCTCCTTTGGAGTTTTTTCCCCCAGAACATCTATGTCTGACCATCTCCCTCCTCTGCAGTGGATACTTAAAATGCACAGTCCTTGCACAGAACTAGGTGGTAACTGGCACTGTCTCAATTACCCCACATACAATTCCAGGCATATACCTTAAGATAAAAATCTTTATAATGACAGTTACGAAGAGGACAAGGCCTATGTAGGAGGGGAAGTACATACAAACTTACCTTTGAAGGTTGTGACTGGTACATAGGTAACCAAGGTGTATAGTTTGTTAGGTGAATCTTCATCCTCATTGCGTTTCCTGGACAAGCGCACACGGATGCGGTAGGGAACATTCCTACAATGATGACAACACATAATTTGCAGTTACATTTTCAATAAAAATCGGCATACAATTTTGTCTTGCAACAAAGGCACTATCATAGAGGCCTTTGTTCCACAACCATTGTTCTCCTGAAATTCTTAAAATTAGTCTCTTAATACCTGCCCATTGGTTTATAAAAGCTTCAGCCAAAAAAGTAACTGAATTCAATGAGTAGGCTGTAGGCTGGTCTTTTATGGGAGCTTGTACATTTGGACTATCACTGCCAAAATTGCAGTTTGCCCAAAACCCATGTTTCAAAAGCAGGAATCCAGAAGGACCACGAAAGGAGACACTTCAAAATAAACTAATTAGCCTGTCACTGGTCCAGGAATGGAGCTTTGAGGAAACTTACTATGAATGAGTTGCCTGGTAAGCATCTCTACAAGTGTTCCTTGTTAGTCATGTGGGAAACACAACCAGGCAAGTAATTTCCCTCTGGAAGCTTGAAATCCTAATCTGGACAATACAGAGGCACTGTCTTCTAGTCCAGGACCAGGACCCATCTGTAAACATTAATGGCCAATCCTCACCCCACTGCCCTTTGCCTCCCAATGTGCGGGGCAAGGGGGGCCCAAACAGCCCTGGCAGGCTGGAACTCTGCCAACCTGCAGTGTAAAAGCCACTATTTCCCATGTTTTTCCCCTTTAAAGTAGAATCCATTTTTAGTCTGTTGATCCATTTTTTGTTTGTGACCCTTTCATATATTCTTGCAACCCATGGGCTGAGAAACGCTGGTTAAGAATCGGCTGCTAAACTAGCGTAGGTATTCAAGCATGTTAGAGAAGCATAAGCAAGTTATTTATGCCTGTGCTATCTATTAATAGAAAACAGCAGGGGTAGAGCAAGTGCTTTCAAAAAGGATATAAAACATTTCTCGCCCAAGTGGCTTGTGAGATGCAGTAAACCTACATCTGTCCCTTAAAGGAAGGTTTGAGTTAGTGCCCCACGGGCAAGGATTTCTGTGGGTAATACCTTTTACCGGACCAACTGCACAGCTGAAAAAACGTAAGACAAATTTTCAAAGGCCGTGCATTCTTTGGGTCTGGCCTTGTAACATTTTAAACGGGCTATTTTAGTATGCTAGTTCAATGGTTGGTGGAGGAAGGCAGAAATGATCTGTCCCCTCTAAGAATACACCTGTACAGAACTCAAGTTTTTGAAAATTCCCTATCTGGGAGCAGTGCTCTGGTTACAAGACCCAAGTCCAAAACAAAGGCCTGCAAAACCCCTGTTCTGTGGCCACCTAGACACGAAGGCTCAGGCAGTACCAGGCCATGTCTAATCCCCATCTGAAGTTGCAAACTGGCATCCCCGCCAAGATGTCTGACCCAGTAAGTATGTAACTGCTGCATGGAGCAGGACAGTTACAGGGCCAACCCAGAATACTTAACATCCTAGTGGTGCCTTCTCAAGGATTTCGTGAGAAAAGACATTTAAATCAACCCTAACTCCAGGAGACAGTTCACTGTTGCAATTCCTGAACTTTCTTCAGTCATGTACCTAACTCCCTGGAAGGAATGGGAGCTGGAGGTCTGCTGTTCTTCATGTTCCCTATTGGCCAGTTTAGACACCTCCCTGCTCAACATGCTCTTTTGTAGATCCCCTTGCAATGGTACAACCCCTGTAGGGCTATCTGCTGAGCAAGGATGGGCATTTCAATGCTTGAGCTCTTCTGTGGATCTAATTCTCAGCCTCATCTCCCAGATTTCTCAGTAGTGCATACGGGGAGAGCTCTTACGACTTTGCAAAGGAAGCGTTCTGCACTCAAACATCCCAGTTCTAGATAGCCTGGGAGAGAAGACTGGCCTGGTTGTAAGGAGAAACTCACTGAGTTTATGGAAAACCCCAGCTACCTGCACCAACAGCATCACACAAAATCTGCATGAGAATGACAAGTGCTACAGGGACACAGAGAGAAATCAGTGGTTATGCATTTTCCCATTGCATGTGTGAGCATGTGAAATTCTTCCTTCCCAACCTCTGTCAAGCCCCTGGAACACACCTGATTCCTTTGGCCCAGACGGCTTTGTTCAACCTGGTGTCAATGCGTACATCAGGAGTACCCATCTCCTTCATTGCAAATTTGCGGATCTCCTTGAGAGCACGTGGCGCTCGCTTCTTGAAGCCTCTAAGAAGAGAAAGCAGTAATTTAATCAGGCTTCGAGATACATCCTCAGCAGTGCACATGTATAGCATCCAGCCAGACTGGCATTCCCTAAGCATATGCAACCCAAAGCATTCCAATGAACTGTCAAAGCTTCAATTGGACCCTGGCTCCAGAATCAATAGTCAGCTATTTCTGCCCGACTCTGCACAAATGCACCTTTCCTTCCTTTTCTGTGTCCGTGTGACAAAGTATTTGGCAGAATTCATATTCTTTAGAATCTAACAGGCTGTGCTGCAAGCACTTCTGTTATAGTTTCAAACTTGCAACCTCTGGGCTATCAACTGTGTGCCTTAGTGCCAGCACCACCTCAGTACCCCAAATGCAGTAAAAAGCCACCACTACCCATGACTTCCCCACCGCGTTCTATTAAACGGCTCTCAGTAAAAGTTGCCCATTGGATGCAATTTTTCAGCAAAGACCAGATCTGCTCTACTGACTCCCCTATGTTGGTCAGAGCTGCAAAGGGCATAGTTGTACCGGCCAACACTGCACACTTGACATTAGCCCTTGCTTCGTTCAGTGGCAGGACATGGCCTAAAGAAGCTTATCTGGAATAATTCTGGCAGAAGTGCCCTTTTCCCAATAAAAGCTGCATCCACATTAGGCATGCTTTGCAGGTATAGTAGAGGCTGACAAGCACCACACTAGTAGTGCAGACAGGCCTAAAGCAACAGCATGCCTACATATCAGACCACAACTGGCACTCTTTGCATGTAGGTGGTAGGAGCCAATGATGGATCGCAAGAGCAAAGCAAATGCACTTTTGAGTCTACAGCAAGAGGAGCACTGTAGGCAAGACAGTGGTGGTGAAAGTACCAGTTCCCTCTGTGATAGTCAGGCCACAATTGAGGACTGCATGCAGCAACATATTTGAGAGAGAGAGAGAGAGAGAGAGATAGAAAAGAGTATCAAGCAATGAATGCGATAAAGGTGAAGTAGGTACGGTCAGTTTGGAAGAAAGGGTGATAAAGGGAGGGACCTGCTAGAATTTTTTTAAACACATGAAAGGCTGTCAAAGGCAGGGAGGAACAAGTGTCCTGCCACTGAGCACAAGAGGCAGTGGGTTTCAACTATAGCAAAAGATTTAGATCAAATCAATGAAAACCCTCCTAATGACAAAAATAGCAAGACAGTGGAACAAGCTGCCCAGGGAAGCCATGGAGTCTCGCTGAGAGGAGTTTTCAAGCAGCAGCTGGATGGGCCTGTCAGGCTGGTTTAGGAACAGCAAGTCCTGCATCTGCAGAAGAGGCTGGATTGGGTGACCCTTGAGGTCCTTTCCAACCCTATGGCTCTCATGCTAGGAGGAAAGGCAATCCTATACCTCCTGCCACATCCTAAGCATGCATAGCCTCACAACCCAACAACTTTTGGAAGCAGGAAGAGTAGTAAAAGGAGCAATCGCCTGACTGTGAGGCAAAGCCAGCATGTCCCTTTTGTACGAGAGTCCTAAATTATCCATGTTTTGAAAGGGAAAAAGGTCACTCTGTTGCTGCCCTGCCCTTGCCTGTGAGCTGCCTCCAGACAGCTTTGAAAATAAACCCATACCTCCTCCTGCATGACTGCAGCTGCCTGCTGACAAAGAGCAGCCCAGAGAGGCAACAACACTAGTCCAAATCCTCTCCCTACACTGAGCTGCGAACAGCCTGGCCCAGGGCACTCTCAGGAGCCAGCAAACAATTTGGTCTGGTCCTATCCCATCTGACGGCCATGGTGCACATGCAGAGCTCCTACACCCAACAGGGCACCTTCACCTGCGGGCAACCCTTGCATGTGCAGCCGCTGAAGGTGCTGCTTCCCTCCAAGCACAATACACTCCTGCTTCCCTGGATATCCATGCTCCCCAGCCCTGCTGTGCCATGCACTCTGCATCCAGGCGCAGCTCAATGCCCCCCTGCCGGGGGATGTCCTACCCCAATCCCTGCCTGCAACAGGAAGCATTTAACACTGCCCACCCAGGAAGGGCCTGGCACTCACATGCCGTGGATGCGCTTGTGCACGTTGATGGTATACTCCCGCGTCACCACCTCATTGATGGCCGAGCGCCCCTTCTTCTTCTCCCCGCCTTTCTTCGCTGGAGCCATTGTGGCTGCGGAGCTGCAAGACACACACCGGCTTGTCACACCCCGTGCCCAGCTACAACCCCCCAGGCCTGCCCCCCAACCCCTTCCTCTCCTCCCAGCCCCCCCACCCTGCTCCCCAACCC